TCAGCAGTTCGAGACCCGGGTGCCGCAAGACAGAGTGAGCTCCCATCTCTAGTTCCAGCTCCTGCCAACCTAGCAGTTCGAAAGCAAGAAACTGCAAGTAGATAAATAGGTACCACTTCAGTGGGAAGGTAACAGCGTTCCGTGCGCCTTGGTGTTTAGTCATGCCGGCCACGTGACCTAGGAAACTTCTTCAGACAGCGCTGGCTCTTCGGCTTTGAAACGGAGATGAGCACCGCAACCCTAGAGTTGGACTCGACTGGCTTTCGAGCAAGGGAACCTTTACCTTTACTTTTAGTATATGTCTTTAAAGAATCAAAGGTAAAAGTAAAGGCTCCCTTGCTCGAAAGCCAGTCGAATCCGACTCTAGGGTTGCGGTGCTCATCTCCGTTTTAACGCCGAAGAGCCAGCGCTGTCCGAAGACGTTTCCTAGGTCATGTGGCCGGCATGACTAAACACCAAGGTGCACGGAATGCTGTTACCTTCCCACTGAAGTGGTACCTATTTATCTACTTGCAATTTCTTGCTTTTGAGCTGCTAGGTTGGCCGGAGCTGGAACTAGAGACGGGAGCTCACTCCGTCATGCGGCACAGTTGGGTCTCGAACTGCGGAACTACTGACCTTCCAGAGCCTGCAGTTCAGCGTCTTAACCACTTGAGCCACCGCAGCTCCCAAGACTCATAGAAAAGTGAACAAAATAATATACATAATCATAGAAAAATATATTGACGATGATCTCTGGAATGTCTTGCCGTTTCGAAGGAAGATCTTCCTTGATAATTGTGAGACATCACCAGAGAATATGAATCTCTGAGAGACATTTTTTTGTCCTACATCTTTGTTCAGAAGAAGATCTTCCTTCGAAACGGCAAGACATTCTGGAGATCACCGTCAATATATTTTTCTGTAATTATGTATATTTTGTTCACTTTTCTATGATTCTTTAAAGACATATATTAAGCGTCATTTTTTCACAGTTTTTCTTGTTCTCCGTATTAACCCTACAGGTTAACCAGTGCGTGCACCGGGGGTTGGGTTGTGCACGTTCTCCCGTTCCATCAGTTCTTATTTCAACCAGCAGTGGCCACGTGACCTTATGTTTCCCCATCCCCCACCCCGTCCCAGTTCCTTCAAAATTGATCAGGAAGATCAAGGACCAGAAGGCAGTATTGTCCTCAGTGACCATGGTTCTTCGTCCCTCAGGAGAGGGCGAACCAACCACTGCTAATGCTCCCAGCATCTCGCAGGATATTCACAGAGGAGACTTCATTTGAAGTGAAATGCAGCTGTTCTTTGAAGTAAATTTGTCCATACAATCCGTCATAGGAAAATTCAGAAGCCAGAGAATTAATATACAAAATAAATAAAAGTCCAACACTTTTCCTAGGTAATTTTCCCAGTGTTTCAGACCTCGGGTCCTTCCTCAGGAATAAAAAACAACTGCTGAGAGTCGCATTCCATCTTCTTATGAGACAATGCTTTTCTATTATTTCTGTATTGGGCAAGGTCTCCTTAGCTCTAAGCAGCATCCCTAAAGGCTGCTTCAGTGTATCAGGACCAAAACATGCCTCTTTGGCTTCTGCATTTTCCTATGACGGATTGTATGGATAAATTTACTTCAGATAACAGGTGCATTTCACTTCAAAAGAAGTCTCCTCTGTGAATATTCTGTGGGAAATTCAGCTCACAGTTGTTTTTTTTGTGATTCTTTGCTACTTACTACAGTGTGCTGTTGTTATTGAGTGCTCCCAGTATCACTGGACATGCTTCAACAAGGTCCTGTATGGCTTCCACAACCAGGATGGCCATGTTCAACTGCTTGGAGATTGAGTGGGGCGACCTTTAAGTCTAGGATTTTCAACAAAATGCAATGGATGCCCTGCTAGATAAATTTACAATACTTTGTGGAGGACTCTCATCAGGCAGAGTAGTGGAAAATGTATTGACCTCCTGAAGACTCAGACTTTATAGATTCTATCCTTTCTCTAAGGATGGTGGGCTCAAGGATTTTCCTTTACAATGTCGAGTCGCAACTCTGACAGTGATGTTACCTCTGTTCCGAGGTCTGGGCCTATCTAGACACCTTCAAGCTCGCCATCATTACCAGGGGTGCTGCTCTAAGTGAGCCACCACAAAGATGAAGGTTTCTAATGCAGAAATTGCAGAGACAAAAGGGCCATGAACACAGACCCTGCCTTTACACCAAAGGTGAATTCGACCTTCCACAGGTCTCAGAAATTTTAGCCTTTCTCATTTCACCCGAATCCTATCTATCCAAAGGAGAAACTGCAGCAGGCCTTGAAGTTAAAAAAAAAAAAATGCTTAAAATCAAGTCCTTATTCATCTTATGTGATTCTCATAAAATTGCCCCAGTACTCTAACAAAGGCAATGTTTAATTGTCTATTGGTAATATTTAATTGTCTATTGGTAATTTTAATCTGTATTCTTATTGTTTTATTGTTTTTATCTGGCGTTATGCCTCTGTTAGCTGCCCTGAGCCTGCGGGGAGGGCGGGATATAAATGCAAATAAATAAATAAATAAAATCTCGTAGCTTTCAGCGTAAAACCCCGTCAAGCCCCTGCTTTGAATTTCAGCCGCAGAAGTGAATCCACAATCCTGTCTACATTAACTTGGGAAGGAGCATGATTACACATAGTGATACTCTGGAGCAAGCATGACCTGGTCTGCACCCTGGTGAAAAATAAGTGACTGTTGCCTCCACCTTCCCTCATTGGCACAGTTGGTTTGTACTGCAGGGTGCCACAAGAATTTCTGAAACGTGTAGAGTTATCAGTAGGCTTATATTGTAATGCCTGCTCGAAAGAACTTGGGCAGTTTGATAGGCATATGAAGGCATATCAAGGAGTGCTAGATAGACAATTGTTAATCATCCCTGTTAACCTGCCTCTCAGCCCCTAGTACCAATAACCTGCTATTGCAAGAGTTCTTTGAGACCATTTAGATGCTGTTCTAAAAGTGATGATGCTGTATTTCTGACCTGGATAGCCCAGGCAAGCCCGATTTCATAAGATTCTTGGAAGCTAAGTAACTCTGGCAAGTTACTTGGAAGGGTGATCTCTAAGAAATACCAGGGCTGGGATGCAGAGGCAGGTGACATCTAGTCACCTCTCTGAAACGTCCTAGCCCCACTAAGGGTCACCAGAAGTCACCATAACTTCCAGGCTCACAAGCATATACACCCACACAAAATACAAAGAAAATAAAACTGATGATGTTGTGTCTATGAAGTGTAAACATTTTTGCAAAAACTGATTGGTTCTGAAAAAATATTTTTCTTATTTGATTAAGCTCTGTTAAGAGTACTTGAAACCTTGTATTTTTGTAATATTAACTTTTTTTTTTTAATAGTCTCACATAATGGCAGCTAAAGCAGTAGCAAATACACTCAAAACATCACTTGGGCCCAATGGTAAGCATAAAGATGTGATATTGTGAACTTTTAGTCTTTTTTGTTTGTAAGGGCTTTTCTACTTATGTTGACCTTAACTAACTGTCTATTGCAGGCCTTGATAAAATGATGGTTGACAAGGATGGTGATGTGACAGTGACAAATGATGGCGCTACCATTTTGAGCATGATGGATGTTGACAATCAGATTGCTAAACTTATGGTTGAGTTGGCTAAATCCCAAGATGATGAGATCGGGGATGGTACCACAGGGGTTGTTGGTAAGATTAGTTTGTGCAAATCCCGTTGCAAAAGTGACTTAAAAGTAAATTTGAGAATAATATACAGTGTAGACTGGATAATGATCAGAGCCATTGTATGTTCTGAGTAGATAAAGGTAAAGGTTCCCTCGCTCGAAAGCCAGTCGAATCCGACTCTAGGCTTGCGGTGCTCATCTCCATTTCCAAGCCGAAGAACCAGCGCTGTCCGAAGACGTTTCCGTGGTCATGTGGCCGGCATGACTAAACACCAAGGCGCACAGAACGC